TTTTTTTTATTTTGATTGCGTAATGATGAAATTCACGGTATAGGTTTCTATCCTAATCAATATATGCTATTTTTGTTCGTTTTTTAAGAGACTATTTGTCATGCAAAGATGTGAATGCTGAAGACATGTACTGAAATAAGGTGTTGTAAAAGTAATCGTAAAGAGGCCATCACATTTAAAACATGATTTTGTGAAAAGAACAGCTGCACACAGAAACATTATCGTGCGATCTTTCTTGGCCTGACAGGTTTGATTGGCCAGACACTTCACATTGACAACAAGTGCTTTTTGACAATAGATTATTATTGAGCAGAAATTTTGTTACCATAGAGTTTAAGCGACTTAAAATAGCGCTTCGGCCAAAAATGTTATTTTGGCTTAGTAACGACCATGATTTGTACATGAATAATGCAGTGCTTTGTTGGGCGAACCTGCCTTTTGAGTCATGTGAACAACGGTCACTTCTTAGTCAGCTCACGCACCACCTACGGACTTGCCTTCTTCCTATATTAGCACACTTTTTGGACTTGTTGTTCTTGTTTAGTTCAGAAGAAAATGCTTCTGATGTCTCTTAATACTTACGCTTTTTTTGTGGAATGAGCTTCTTGTTTTTTATTTTACTTCTTCCTAAAAATTTACTGCTAAAGTCGGCCAAAATATTAGATTGTTGTTTAATCACCGCACAGCGGGACGGTGGTTTGGAACATTTGATTTTACTGAAGCAAAAATAAAATTAATTCGAATTTGCTCTTCTTTTAAAGAGCTTATTAGTTATAATAAATTACAACAAGTTCCACTACGTTACCAACATTCTGGTCAAAAAAAGTTAAGCAAGAAGGTAGTGAAATCCCCGGAATATAAACACCTCATATTTAAAAAAAAGAACACTTTTTACTTGGTGACGCCAAGAAAACATTAAAAATGCTTTTCAAAGTTCCACGTGGCATAATAAATTAGAGAGGTAAAATTGTATTACACATTAAATAAACAGCAATTTTTTGATGACTCACAACAGCAGCAATTGTTGTGATACTCAATGTGAAATGAGAAAATTGAAAAAAAAACATGCATTTTTTGAAATGTTTGTTTTTACCAATTATTTTATTGTTATATCACAGTAGGGAAGAAAAATGAAAACGAAGTCATTGTAATAATCGGATGGAGTACGAATTGCTCGTCTTTCTTTATGAGCTTTATGCCGCGGTTCTCCACTTCTTCCTTTAGTTATCGCTTCTGATCTGATTTAGCCAATGCTTTTAGCTCTCCAAACGACACCTGTTTTCAGTCAGGCCGCAGTCGCAGTCTTTCTGATCTCTGATGAACCTAAAAGAGGCTCTAAAACGGTGTTCATTTTGTTTCGTTATTGTAATGTTCAGAATTTTAGAAACAAACAGTGTTCCATCTAATAATTTCTGCCTTAGCAGTGTCATCATAAACGCCAGAATAAATTAATAATTTAAATTTCAAAGCCAAAAAAATCTTATTTTCAAGAGATGTGTAACATACTTTAGCAGAGAATTGTGATCGCTAGACAAAAAACGTTACAAAGATTTTTGCAAAAGTTAGAACTGTAACCTAACCTAACTTTTAGATTTTTAGAATTATCTGCTACACTTTCTTCTTCTTCTAAATCAGAAGGTAATTTTGGCTGAATACGACTAGCAATTAGGTGCTTCAAATGATAACAAATTTTCTCAGTTTTTCAATAAGTACAATTATTATTTTACATAAAAGTATGACTACAAATTGCGTTGAATGTTTGGCAAAAAAACTTGAGCAGAGAAGAAAGCATATTAGTTAGCTGAAAAGTATTCCGACAGTTTAAGGTGTCAGACGACTTAGTGTGATGACGGAAAATATGTAGGTAATTACTTGTCCTTTTCACAGTCAGCTTCTGCCTCACTAGCTTACTACATACTTCCTACATTTTTTTGCGTTTGACAGATTTAAGTGACTTATCAGCTCAATTTTGGGCAGATGGCCTATGAGTGAATTTCGCCCTGCCTTTCATATGGTTCACACTTTGCTTCTTCATACGCTACTCTTCTTACGGCTTCTTGATCGCCTTAAACCGTCTCAGAAAGCCCTGAATCTGTACAGCATATAATATGGACTAGGACACATAATAATGTTTTAAAAAAGCAGTCACTTCCTTATAGATCATATTATACAGTTCTGATGTCCTAGTAATATACATTACTAAGACATCAGAGCTGCATAATATAATCTACAGAAGTGAACTATTACGTGGGGTCAGGTAATGATCAATTAGCGTCGTAGTTACTTCAGTAACCGCAGAGTAAGGACCTGAACGACTAGTTCGCAGCAACGTTTTATAAGAGCAGCATTTGTTCGAAGGCTGAACAGAATCTTATAGTAAAGATCTCAACTTTAGTTCACAACTAGTCACACCTACAAACCTGACTTTATTTATAATTCATAATACAATTATGGAATTTAACACTGTGGAATAATTTACAATTTTTATTTATAATGACGTCAAAGGCTAATTAATTTGCGTTACTACAGACAATATTTTAACTAATATGCAGGATAAATTTGCATTTTGATCGGCATCTACGATTTTCGTCCAACAAGGTTGATATTCGTGAAGACACTTAAATGCGGAAAATTCACTTGAAAATAGTCCCTTTTGCTGGAGAGCTTTTATGAAATTCCTAATATTACAAAAATAATGATATAAAACGAACAAATGTGCTTAGTAACGTTCTTGTGACTCTTCTTCACAGTTTCATTCTGCTTGACACTCCAGTCCAACAATACACTTTCAAAACTATAGGTTACTCTAGTTTAACTGCCTCAAAAAAGACACTTCTGATGTTATGTATTGTTAATACTTTTTTTGCAAGACAGGTTTTTGGTTTTTTAAAATTGCTATACATTCCTTATTAAAATCATTTAAAAAATTACGTCACTGTCAATTTATTGTAGAGAATGACGGTCAGTGTGAGGTTTTCGAAATTGTGAGCAGAAAACGGATATTAGTTAGAAACTGTCGATAACTTCAGTAATCCATTAGTCACCACTAATTACAACAGTCTTAAACATACCGTCAACACCAAGAACAAAAATGGTAGATTAAAAAAAAAGGGTTTTTCATAATATAAGTAACTCGCATCTGAAAGAAAAAAGATCACTCGTTACCTGATGACAAAGAAGAAACATCAAATTGGTTTTCTTAGTATTACATTGCAAAATGAACCAGCCAAGTTAAATTATATTACGCATTAAGCAAACAGCAATTCTATGATGAACGACACCAGCAAACACTGTGACATTTAATGTTAAGTGAGAGCAGCAAAAAAAGGTGCATTTTCGCAATATTTGTTTTCACCAGTTGCTGTTTTCCTTTATTGCGGTAAAAAAGCAGCAAGAAAAGAAAAAAAAAGGAAAAAAAGCATTTGTTTTCAAAGACTGAGTGACGTGAGAAATGAAAAAGACGAGCATAAGGTACTTAAACAGGTTTTATTCACGAATTTGTGGCTGTCGATTATTCCCCTCAATTTTTTTCCAAATGATCATTTAGAGTTGTAATCCAGAACAGGATAAGTTTATCCACTTGTAATTCTTTAGAATTTCATCTTCCAAAAATTTTCAAGACTTGGGGACTTTTTTGCAATTATAGGCTACATTGCAGCAAAATTCAAAGTACAATTTCTTTCTTGCTTCAACCAATTTCCACTAATTTCC